ACCCCATATAAATTCAATTGTTATCCGGATTCCAGGGTAAACAGTTTGGCGCCCACCGTGGGGCTAAGGATATTAGTGAGCTCTTTGATACTCTTTCTTGACGCATCACAGTACACTGGTTCTTTGCAAAAGAGTCCATCTTACATTCAAATTACCAACTCATAGAATGGCACAATCAATCAACAACGAACTTGAACAGCAGACAGGAAACAATGGAATGCCCGGGCTCGAAAACCCGATAGATGCCGATTCCCGGATGGCGCTCAACACTGATCAGGCCTCCGGATCATCACATAGCGTCCGGGGAGAGGACGATTCGAGGGCCCAGGCAGTCGGCGAAGAGACTATCAACCTTAAAATGATTTTTGACATGCTGCAAGCCCAGCAATCGGCTATAGCTCAGCTCCAGAGCCGGGTCCAGGAGCCTGTCAGGTCCGAGGAGGCTCCCCGTGCAGCTGCAATCATCAATCCGACCCCAGTACAGCCGGAACGGGGTGGGCCGGATGCTGATTCTACGGTTCTTAGGAGGCTAGAAGAATTGACCGAACGAATCGAAAAGGGGGAGGAAAAGATCGAGGCCAACGATAAAAAAGTAGAAACATACAACTCCAGGGTCGACCAAATACCAGGTGCACCTCCGGTCCTGAAAGGCCTTGACGCTAAAAAGTTTGTACAAAAACCGTTCCCATCCAGTGCCGCCCCAAAACCTATCCCTAAGAAATTTAGAATGCCCGATATCCCGAAGTATAATGGGACCTCGGACCCAAACGAGCATGTGACAGCATACACATGCGCGATTAAGGGAAACGATCTCGAAGATGATGAAATCGAGTCAGTTTTGTTGAAAAAGTTTGGAGAAACCTTGTCCAAGGGGGCAATGACGTGGTATCATAACTTACCGCCAAATTCCATCGATTCGTTCGCCATGTTAGCCGATGCCTTCGTGAAAGCTCACGCCGGGGCGATCAGGGTAGAAACAAGGAAATCCGACCTATTCAAGGTCCGACAGCGCATAAACGAGACACTCCGGGAATTTGTATCTCGATTTCAAATGGAAAGGATGGATCTTCCCCCAGTCACGGATGACTGGGCAGTACAAGCCTTCACTCAAGGATTGAACGCCAACAGCTCAGTCGCATCCAGGCAATAAAGCAAAGTCTGATCGAGTTTCCAGCAGTTACGTGGGCAGNAATACATTCACTCGGAGACTATTTCGAAAAATATAAAGGACTACCATCGTTCCAAAAAGATAAAAGGCAAAGTAATAACAAGATTGAAAAAGGAGCAATAGATGGCAAAGGGCAATGTTTCATAAAAAAGCTCGCTACCGGAGCAATTACATAAGAGGGGAAAACAAAACAAAGCCTAGCCTATTCCCGGAGTCAATCAGAGCCATCCTCGAATTCTTCGGGGAACGTCGCCCTTCTCGAAGCGTCCTCAGCTTCGGCGGCTTTGGTGACGTCCGATGCAAGATCGAAACCGCGACGTTGGAGTTCGGTAAGAACTTCAAGCCGGGCCTGACACTTCGCATATTCGGCTAACATTCTTGACTGCTGGTTGGCCGCATCAGCATCGGCCCTATATTGGGCCACCAGATCGTTGGCAGTCTCCTCGGCTTGGGAAACTTTAGCCTCAGCTTCCTGAAATCGATTGGTCCATAGCTCAATTTCAAGGACTCGAGCCTCATTGGCCAACGTCAAGTCCGCAACCTCTTTCCGAAGGGAAGTCTTCTCCGACTCCAACTGTTGCACCCGGGCTTCCAGTTCGGCTTTGTTCTCATCAAGTTCGGCTCTGCTCTCGTCAAGCTCGGCCTTAACCCGATTAAGCTCGGCTTGCACCCCCCTTAGCTTATAACCAAGCTCTTTCTTCGCTTCCTCCAGCCGGATAGCACAGGACGCGTGCTAGAAGGAACACTTTGTGAAGTTTTCGCCATTTCTTGAAGCTTTACGAAGAGATGAAAAGAAAATACAACCAACGCAAAATTTGAGAAAGATAAGAAATGTTGAACCTGGAAGGGTCGTTTATACTTTTCCCATGAGGCGGCGGCACGAATCGCGAAGTTACAGACACGAAGTGACAGATAATTAAGAGAAGCATTAAATGCCTGCAGCAGACGTGGTCAGAGCACTCGATGGCTTTTTCAGCTGGCGTATGGCCATACGTCACGGGCATCACGTCACCGATCATATCGTTTATTATCATTACTCTCTAATAAACGAGGGGACTATCTGTATTGGGTGATACCCTTTTTGCTTGAGCCCGACCGGGTTGGGTCCGGTCCGGGGCAAGTCGGGGCCATCGAACCCGACCTGGATGCAAGGTAGAACGACGGCCACGTCAATAACCGAGGTCGAGTCATTTCGAGACCGTTGCAGAGCTCGATATGAGTCACCACCGGATGGAGAAACACACAAGGTCGGAAGCCGGACTCGTAACGGATAACCAAGCGTCGCCGGATATCTCGCCCAAACGTGATTTTCTCAACCACTTCAGGCCATTAAGGCGTAATCACAGGGATCCACGATGTAATTAATTTACCTACCTTATTTTTACCCTTAATCAGAATGTATAAAAGGGGAGAAGACCCCATAAAGAGGGGATCGGAAACCATTACACTACGATACCATCTCTCTCAATTCTTGTACGCTATCGAGCACAATTGTTCTAAGCAATATTATATTCTGCGATTATTTACTTTAGCAGCAATTGTTGAGTCTTTATCTTTTATTTTCCTCAATCCAAACCTTTTGTATCTTTTAGTTCACGGATCCTTAAAACCCCATATAAATTCAATTGTTATCCGGATTCCAGGGTAAACACTCCTGATTACTAATTGGTAGATAAATGGAGGACAAACAATCTTCTTGATATTCGTGTTAATAGTATATCACTCGAGTCTCTAAATTGGAATGAGCTAAGATCTGCCTGCAAAATTTGGACCGGAATCACTTGTATTTAGTATAACTTCAGAATTATAACCGTTAATTGCTTGGAGTTGGATCCTATGGCTCAATGCTTAAATTTCATGTGTGGTCATTTAACTTTGTGTTTATTACGCAAAAATTACTTTTCTTCTTTTTGTTACGTAAAAATTATTCAACAGTGTGTTCATTGTTCAAAAGTCACTTTTCTTTCTTTTGTTACACAAAAATTATTTTACTTTGCTCTATTTATCACAAAAGACACCTTGGCAAGATTTTATAATACTTTAACTTAAAAAGTCTATTATGTCTTTGAAATTATAAATCCTGTCATTTATGTAATACCTTTTATATTATATACTATATAACATATTTTTACTTAGGTATCATACATATAATTAAAATAACTTTAAATTATTTATTTATTATTTTATAATATATCCATACATTTAATTTTTCATGGCACTCAATTTGTTTAATCATATCCATACATGATAGATATATTTTAAAAATAAAAAATGATTAAAAAATATATATTTTTTAATATTTATATAAAATAATAAAAACAAATTTGTTTAACAAATGATAGTTTTTTATAGTCAATAAAATTTTTAAAAGAAGTTTCAAAGATATTCGTATTTAATATTAAGTTTTTAAAGCTTTATCTGTTAATATTATTTATTTAAAAGTATTAATCTGATGTGTCATTTTGCTAAATATGGGTATTTTATTTATTAAATTAATGAGTATGGCTTGGCTAATAAATCAATGAGCTTTGATTTTTTAATTTTCATTAAACATATTTCCTTAAGCATGATTAAGAACGTTGACTTGAGATTTGTTCACGGTACTGTTACTTATATATCTTGAAAATTAATATTAAGAAAAATATTAAATGTACGAAAATATTATAAAAATAATAAGTAAAATAATATTAAGTTATTTTAATTATAAGTATAATATCTGGGTAAAATTATATCATATAGCATATAATATAAAAGGTATCACATAAATGAGAGGATTTATAATGTAAAGGGCATAATAATTTTTTCAAGTGAAAAGTTTGTAAAATCTGATCAAAGTGATTATTGTGATAACTCGAGCATATTAAAATGATTTTTGTATAACAGAAGCAAAGAAGTGATTTTTGGGTATGAACACAAAGTTGAATGACTTTAACATAACAAAAGAAAGAAAAGTAACTTTTGGGCACATAAAATTTACTCCTTTATTAGGTTGCTTGTCGGCTCTTCAGTTTTTTTTTTTTTTTTTTTTTTTTTTTTTTTTTTTTTTTTTTTTTTTTTTAAGTTCCTAGTTCCCTTCAGATTCTAAAGAAAACTTGGGAATCTGACGTCTCTCTATCTTCATTTCAGTAACTCTCGGCTTGGCAAAGCTGATTTTTCTGCTTGGATAGTATGTCGGTTTTGATTTGTTAAAGAATATAGTGGGACTGTGGGAGTATTCCTTCCTCAATTTAGGACTTACTCATTTCATTGCTTTGATTTGCTAACATATCACTCTAGTAACGCTTCTGATCTCAATTTCATATCAACCAAGGGAGAAAATATAAAAATGACAGTCTGATGCACTAAGTTCCCGCTATGCGCTTGGGTCCGACAAAGGACCGAATCACAAGGATCTATTGTACACAGTTCTACAAGAGGCTGTTTACATAGACTCGAACCCATGACCTCTTGGTCATATAAAATAGGATAAATTAAAAATCACGTGTCACTTTTAATCTGAGTCCAGATCTCTCAATGGTTGAGGGTATTTATATTCGAATGTGTAACTGTAGGGTTATATGAGCCTAACAGTCATGTGCCTGGAAGCACTTTTGTTTTCAACTGCCAGATGATAAAGGAAAGTGTCATCCCTCCTTTCTCTCGTAATCACAATAGCCATACAGTCGAATAGTTGTGTTAGACAGAGGATAACGGTCGAACTATCAAAAAGGTCCGCTACCAAAGAATTAGGAGTTATAACATTCATAAAAGAAAGAAAAAACCAATATAACAACTTCAACTAAGAAAGTATAAGGTACTTAAATGCAGGGTAGATATGAACAATTTTTTAAAGTAGATGGGTAAATATGACTGATTCCGTTTAAAAAAATTGCAGTTGAACAAAAACAAATAAAAGAAACGAGTTAAAAGATTTACATGAAGGCAACGAGCTACATAATGAATAAGCAGGCATAAACAAGAGCAAAGAAAACCAGCTGAACGAGATGAAAAAATCAATTTAATCAATCCAATTCTCTATAGAAGGACAATCACCTTTATACAAGCAATGATACAAGCTGGTTCCTCCTTGGGAATGGCAAGATGGACAGTTGCAGGCATTCTAGTGCACTAGCAGTTCATGTTGTCAGACCAACATGCAAAGGTGCAACTCACTTTCGCACAATTCTTGTTCTCACACCCCCTGGATTCAAAAGATTTCTCAAAACTTTAGAATCACGAGAAACCACATAGCTGAAGGCAGGAGATACAATTTATCACAAATAAACCTGCTACTGCCTACCGTAAAAGTTAAGGGTACAGGAAGAATATAGAGAGAATGTCATAAGCTTAAACTAACACTGACCTTCAGTTTCCTCAAAGTCAATTTCTTTTACTAGTTCAGAAGTTGCATTGTACTCAAACCTGCAAGATGAAATGGTATAAATATATGAACAAATAACAATAACATAAGACATTTTTCCCAGATTGAACAGCAAACTTTACGCGGTAGAGGAGGAGCCAAAAAGACAGATAGTGCATCATAGGAAGAATGAAAAAAATAAATAAGAGCAACATGTATTGAGATGCTCCAAGCACTGTCAAAAGAAACCACTTTGCTTTAAGAGTGAGAAACTCCACCTTCTCTCTAGGATGCATTCCCAAACTTTTGAGAAGCATGAGACCATCCCTCCAAAACCTCCAGATTTAATCCAACACCCTCCCTTACCAAACAATCTGGAAAGACCAATATCCTTTAAGGACCAACTATTGAAATCTAACCTAACAATTTTCACTCCTTCCATAGATTATGATAAGATGCTTGAACCAACAAAGACAGTGGAAGACACAAAAATAGTGAGTGATCAAGGGACTAATCTACGTGAAGCTATACAAATCACTCTTTCATTGGAAGATAGACAACATATCTATGAGCCATGAAAATTCTCTATTATAATCAAGTTAGTAGGAAAACGTATGCTACACCATTACCTAAAGAAGAAGATCCAAGATCTATGAAAACCAACGGAGGAATTCTCTTTAATTGATCTTGGTGAGGACTATTACATAATCAAGTTCACAAAGAAAGAAAATATGGATAAAGCTATTCACCTAGGACCATGGTTCATAAATGGTCATTTCCTATCTATCTCCAAATGGAAACCAAACTTTGTGGCTAGAAATGAAAAACTAACTTCCTCAGCAGTTTGGGTAAGGCTGCCTCAATTACCAACTGAATTCTATGATGGGAGAATCCTAGCAAAAATTGGTAATGCAATAGGACGCCTTTTAAAAATTGACACATGCACCTCAACTACCCTAAGAGGTCGTTATGCAAGAATTTGTGTCGAAATTCCCTTGGAAATTCCAATTCAATCTTTCCTATTTGTTGGAGACCACAAGCAAGGTATACTCTATGAAGGGGAGGATTTTCTTTGCAAAAACTGCGGCCGTTTTGGTCATACACTAAGACAATGCAACTATATCAAGATGCAAAACTTGGATCCTCACCATGCAGGACAAGAACATCAACAAGTAGCTCCACAAGAAGCTTGTGATTCTGAATGGAAAACTGTCTCCTTCAATAAGAAGAGGAATCAAGGCAAAAAAACTCCTAATCAAATGCCTACCATCCATGCAAATGGCAACCAAAGTCCAGGTATTCCGGTTAAACTATTCAATGCAAAGACAGGTAATTTCTTGTTTACCCAAACACTCCATTATAAAACAAAAAATAATCCTTCTAACAATCAAAATCCTCCTGTCATTACCCATCCAGAATCGACTTTTGATCAATCTACCTCTCATATGGAAAACCACCTTTTAGAAGAGAGGCAAAAGGTTTTGACACAAACCACCATGGATAATGATAATTTTATTAGTAATAATAGATTTAATCAATTAAATAATGACTTGGATCTTGACACACAAGATACATGCATGCAAGACTCCAACGTGGCACCCCACATTGCCAACTCCTTAGTGAAATCCAATGCCATGCAAAATGGCTCTTGTATGGACGAATCTACCCCTATCACTAATCATACACCTACTGCCCCTAACCCCCTCCTTAACACGAAATCTATCCAAAATCTTCCTTTATCTAAAGAATCTTCCAAAATCTCCCCATCCATGCATGTTGGCCAAATGGCAAAGACCTTAGAAGAAAGTTGCCAAATGGACATTCCCATGGGTAATCCAATCCAAGCCTTTAAGTGTTCCTTTAAAAGTGACCTAGGACAACCAAAAGCCATAGACAAAAACGAAGCAATCATCACCTCCCCACCCGATCGGCTAACCCCTCCTCCTATCCAACATCCCACGCCAATCTTCAGTGCATTTAATTCAACTTGTTTTAACCAAAATGCCAAGAGTTCCATCAACCCTAAGGAGAAGAACTCGACTAGTTCAAATCTTGAGACAACGTCACCCTCTCCAAATGGAAAACATTCCCCCCCCCCCCTCCATCCCCAAGAACAGCCCCAAATAATTTACGCTCAACCCCCCCAAACACAAGATTACCAACCCTCGAGTTGGATGGAGTTAGGGCTCATGGGCCATGCACTCTCATTCACAGTGCCGATCAACAGCGAAGAAGCCATTGTGATCTTGCACAACACTCAATACCTAGCTCAACTTATCACGGAGGGGATGAGATTGGCAATGAACAACTATCTAGACCAAGTATGGCTCAACAATGTCATTCATCCCATGGCACCATCGTTGAATCCTCAAATGGCCCAAACAATGAGAGAGCAATGGAATATGCCTCCTCAGTTCAACCCCATGCATCCTCTAAATGCTCCACTGGACCTCTCTTTCTTTCCAACGGAGATATACACCCACCTAAACCCCATCTTTCTCCCTTGGGATGTCAATCTAGGGAACCAAGGGATGGTACCCCTCCCCCCCAACCACCACCAGTACCCCCACCACAACAACAAGAAGATCCCATACCAGGGCCAGTGGAGGCAGAGATGGAGGAGGACGATGTCCCCCTCAATCTTCACTTAGGGCCAACCCTAGAACTCTCAAACCTAGACGGAATAAAAATCTTTCTATTCACGGAGAGGCACGAGAAGAGGCATGTTCTCAGTTGCCCGTTAGCCCTATACAATTGCTCGATGGATATCCGCCCTCCACACGACCCTGCTGTGGGGAACAAAGCTATGATCCTAGTTCCATCAATGAGGAGGAACCTTGTCCAAGCGGGGGGAGTAAGGGAGAATGGGGAAATGAACATCACTGACTTAGCCATGAATCAGTCTACTAATTTCATAATATGGAATATTCGGGGAGGAAACAATGACAACTTTAGGAGAACTTTAGGAAGATGATAGACACTCATAGGCCGAGCTTGGTTACTTTGTTAGAAACAAGGATGATCAACCATGCTGCCATGCTCAACGAATTTGGTTTCACTGAGATGATAGAAGTTCCTTCGGAGGGGCAGTCAGGTGGTATGGTTATGATGTGGATGGATGATATAATCAACGTCCAAGATGCTGTTAGAAGAGGTCAGGAGATCCATGCAACTATAGAGGTACATCCTTTACGTAAACCTTGGCTCTTTACTTCAATTTATGCTAGTACCAATATTCATTCTAGAAATACATGTGGGATAACCTAGAAAATATTAGTAATACTTATAAGTAGGTGGTGATTTTAATGATATTTTAACTGCTAGTGAGAAATTTGGAGGTAAACCAATCAAGGATAGTAGAGCTAGATATATTTGGTCTAAAATTAATAATTGCAACTTAGTTGATCTAGGTTTCAAGGTAAGCAAATACACTTGGACCAATAATAGACATAGTAATAAGAGCCTTATTTTAGAAAGACTTGATAAAGTTTTTGGAAATGAAGAATGGTTAGAACTCTTTCCTAAAAGCTCTATTATCCATCTTCCCAGAACCCACTCTGATCACAATCCTATCCTAGTTGAATTAATTCCTAGAAATAGAACTCCTCATAAGGTCCCCTTTAGGTTGGAAACCTTTTGGTGTAAACATCCGGAGTTCCAATCTGTTGTACAAACTCCTGGAATAAGAGTGACTACTTTAAGGCTAGCTCTAATTTTATAGATAATGTTAAACCTTGGAAGGACAACACTTTTGGCAATATCATGGCAAGGAAGAGAAAACTCTTAGCTAGACTACAAGGCATCCAAGCTTCTAACAGCTATGCTACCAGCTCTTTCCTAAAAAAAATTAGAATTAAATCTTCAACATGAGTTCAATGATATCCTAAAGATAGAAGAAGACTACAGGAAACTTAGATCCAGAATAATGTGGCTTAATGATGGCGACACCAATACTAAATTTTTCCACATCTCTCCCACCAATAGAAAAAGAAGAAACAAAATTACTTTCTTCAAAGATGATGCTGGTAACTGGATAAATGTTCATAGTCTTATTCTGGCCCATGTCCAAAACTATTTTACCTCTGCTTTCACCTCTTCTCATACTCACTCTTCCTGGGCTAACCCCCTAAATACTCAATCCAATTGCAAATTTATCAACCTAGAACACCTAGATACCCCCCTCCTGGATAATGAGATAAAAAGTGCAGTCTTCTCTTTCAAACCATTCAAGTCTCCCGGACCAGATGGTCTGCACCCCTTCTTCTTCCAAAAATATTGGTTCCATATAGGGGATTCTGTCAAGAAGCTCTGCCATAACATCTTCAACAACCAAAAAATCCCTCCGGATATTAACAAGACTTTTCTCTGCCTCATTCCTAAATTCCATAATGCTAATAATATCAAAAACTTCACACCTATTGGCTTGTGCAACACTATCTATAAAATAATTACCAAGATTCTAGCCAATCATATCAAACATTTCCTGGATCAACTAATCAGTCCTTATCAGGCTAGTTTTATGAAAAATAGAAGAGCCTTTGACAATGCTATCATCATCCAGGAAATGATTTCTAAATTCAATAAACTGAAAGGTAAGCAAGGCAATATGATTCTGAAAATTGACTTGGAAAAGGCTTTTGATCGTCTTGAATGGTCTTTCATTCGTCAGACCCTAGATTTCTTTAATTTCCCTCCTAAATTCTCTAACCTTCTGCTAAATTGCATTTCTACCAGTAAAATAGCAATCTTAGTAAATGGAGCTATTACAAACTATTTTCAACCAAGTAGAGGTATTAGACAAGGCGACCCCATCTCCCCCTATATCTTTATCCTCTGCCTAGAAATGCTCACAAGATATATAGAATACCAAGTGGACATCAAAAATTGGGACCCCATTTTCCTAGGATATAAATGTCCAAAGATCTCCCACTTCTCTGATGGCAAGAGCTAATACTAAATCTTGTCAGGCCATAAAAAATGGGCTTGACCTATTTTGCTCTCTATCTGGTCAAAGCATCAACTTTACTAAATCGAAGATCCTGTTTTCTAAAAACTGTAACCACTCAATCATCACCAACATTACCAATTCTCTAGGTATTAAAAATAGTAACAACTTTGGCACATATCTTGGTTTCCCAATCCTTCACCACAGCCCAAAACCTAGGGATTACCAATTCCTTATTGACAAAATGAGAACCAAACTTGCATCCTGGAAAATGAGGTTCTTTAGTTTGGCAGGAAGAACAACCCTTGCGTCATCATGCCTCAACTCCATCCCAAACCACTACATGCAATACACCCTACTCCCTAGCAAAACCCTTAAAGAGATTGATAAAGTCCAAAGGGATTTCATTTGGGGTAGTACAGTAGAAAAAAGGAAACTTCACTTGGTAAACTGGTCCACTATATGCCAACCCAAAAAATATGGTGGACTGGGGATCCATAATGCTCTCAATAAAAATCTTTGTATGCTGGCTAGCTTAAGCTGGAGACTCCTTACAAATGCTCTAATTCCTTGGGCAAAGCTTATCATCTCATACTATTGCAATAGCTCCTCTGCGAATAGAACCTCCTTCCTCTGGAAAAGCATTTGCAGAGGGTGGGACATCTTTTCCAAAGGCATCACATGGTCCCCACACAACCATTCCAATCTTAACCTATGGGAGGCCAATTGGATACCAAATATTGGTAACCTAAGGAACCTAGTTACAGGCCCCCCTTCAGCCAAAGATTTCTCCACCAAAATTAGAGATATCTTTGATGGTACTAACTGGAACCTAAACTGTTTAACCTTCTCTCCCTCTCCGGATTTGTTAACCACCATCTCCAAAACAAAAATCCGCCAAAAAGGCCTTCCCATTGACTTACCTACTTGGTCCCTCACCACTAAAGGAGTCTTTACTACCGCCTCTTGTTATACTCTGCTAGAATCTCCGAAGAACTCTAACCCTGACTTCGAATGGATCTGGCATTTGGAGTGCCCCAGTAAAATCAGATTTTTCCTATGGCAATGTCTTCACAGTCGTATCCCTTGCAGGAAGTACCTTTCACAAATTGGACTAAACATTGATTCGAATTGTCCCATCTGCAAAAACCTTATTGAAGAGTCGATTGAACATATCTTCCTGGCTTGCAGAGCTGTCAGTAATCTCTGGAGGGAACTGCAAGGAACCCATCCAATCAACAGAAGTGGGAAGCACTGGCTTCTCCAAATAAGGGACTTCAACATTCCTATAAAACATAACTTTATAAACTGGAAAAACTTCTTTCCCTTCATCATCTGGCATATCTGGATTAATAGAAATAGTAATAACATCAACAACACGGCCAACCAATTAAGGGGTTCCCAAATCATGCAAAAGGCAGTGGAATTTAAACTATTCACGAAAAAATCCTTTATTAATCCTCCCGAATCCCTTATAAAAATTAACCGGTTCAAACTCCCTAGGGGGTGGTACAAACTGAATGTGGATGCCAGTGTTCATAGCCATGACAAAAATTGTGGTTTAGGCAGTGTTTTTAGAAATGCAACAGGCAGCTGGGTGGTTGGTTTTGCAAAACTAGCACATGCAAATGGCTCCCTTGCAGCAGAATTAAAAGCACTACGAGAAGGGCTACGAACAGCAAAGGAATGGAATCTCTTCCCACTTGAGATTGAGACAGACTACTCAGAGGCTATCCAGGTAATACAAAATGGTAATAAATTACTTAACAAAACTGTTAATGATTGCAGGTCCTTAATACACCAGCAGAGGGTTACTCTCCAGCACACTTTCAGGCAGGGGAATAGGATTGCCCACCAGCTAGCTAAAGGAGTCCTAGGAAGGGAAAGCAAATCTCAGGGGTTAGCAGGAAGAAGTAAAGCAGTGAAGTACACAAAAAAAGTTTTTGTCGTACCACCTTTTGATGTAACAGTTTTTGTTGAAAGTGACAAACTTGAATCAACTTGTCATGAAAAACTTCTATGTAATGAAGCTTGTAATATGCTAGCAAGCTTAGGAAACAAATGCATCCTCCGTAATGCAACTTAAGTTAACTATGTACTGGATGTTCCTTAGCTATTAATATATCTATTTCTTGTTTGCTCAAAAAAAGAAATGCTCCAAGCACCCTCTTTCTTTCTGTTTCAGGAATAAGCAATTTCAACCATCCCATCATCTACATACATGTTCCCATGATTAAGATTTTATCATCATGCACAGTTTGCATATGTCTTGTCCGTCAAAAACTCATTATATATTCTAGCTAGGCAAGGAGATTAATTTGATTTCACTCTAATACGAACGACAGAATGGATCACATCAGCTATTTTCTTCTTTTCTGATAAGGATCTATTTCTCATCATATCAGCTAGGAGTATCTTTCTACGACCAATATTGAAATCCTTAGTATGAAAGCAAGATACAGCATTCACTAGTATATGTGCATGGCATGAAATCAAGCCAAAAACGTTCTGACTTCGAGTCTTTGGCCCCTTAATCATAATCTCATACACAGTTCTTCAGCAATGCACACTCACTACTTTGATAATATCTGCAGATGCATCCATTTGCAGCTCATATTTTTTTGAAGTTCAGATAAGCCAGATGAAGAAGAGGTGAGGAGTTCAAAGTCAATAAGAAAATGACACTTCACTTACCTATTAGAGAGTAGTACCTCAAGTTCGTAGTCGGATTGACTCTTGGTAGCGTCTACTAAGACGGTTACAATTTCCGTCTTCCGGGTACTGGCCATCAGTAGATCATACTCAGTTGGGATAATTATTGCTAAGAAATTATCACTTAGTTCACTCAAACAGAGCTTTTCAACGGCTGCCAGAGCAATCCGCCTTTTAAGTGCATCAATGTCTGGGTCTACAATGTAAATGGCAAAATCAGTCATAAGAAGAATGCGCCGCTTCATCTTTCCTGAACTTGTGAACTTCAAAACCTTGTCTGCAAAAAGAACTTTTTTGTCACCTGCAAAAGATTACATAAATCAGCATCGATTTAGATACTACTCCTATTAGTTTAGAAAGATGAATCATGAAACATGATGTACAACTGTATATCACTAGAGGGTTGTTCCAAGTGAAGATTTACCCCAACAATATTAACTAAGAGCTCCTACAGTTTTTCTAATTCCTCAACCTTAGTATTTTATATCACAATCTTACTATTCCTCTAATACATGTTGATTTAGAAATTCAGTGTTTTTAAAACAGGAAAAAGCAAAAAAGCGATAAGGTACTTCTTTCACCATCCACACAATTGTTTGTCGATTAAAACTTGAAAGAAATTTTCAAAAAGAGCTGTCCAATCGACTACGAGTTGTAATTTAAAGAAATAACCGATCCCTATAGAAATTATTGAATCTGGTACTTTTTTATCACAATGCTAGAGGTTACAAATAAACTTCTTCCTTTGTTATTTTTTATGCTACTCTTTTCTCTTTTTTTTTTCTATCCTAAAAAATAATACCTTACAAATTTGGAAGCCTTTTAACTTTAAACTTCTCATCTTACACCTACACATGTGATAACCAAAAAATCAGGGACTGTTGATAGAGTACGGTTCGATACTCGGTGGATAATGTTCTCATTTTACACCCAGGGGCGGCTCAAGAGATCTCGTGGCCTAAGGCGAAACTATATTGAGGGGCCCTTAAATTTATTTTATAAAATATTTACACTAACAATAAAATTTGCTTTTTAAATAACAAATTAATCATTTAAGACAAAAAAGCGAATTTAACAAAAAATAAAAAAAAAAAGGAAGAAGAGCACAAAAAATAAAGTGGTGGACTACCGGATGTTGAGGTCCAGAACTCAACGTGAAAATTTTGAATTGGCTATCATCACAAGAAGAAAAAAAATACACATACGTAACGTAATAGCTTAAGTTATGAGCATTGACGATGTCAGAAATATTTACTCCTTCTGATCAATTTAAACGATAATTGTATCTATTAAGTAGCACTTATTAATGAATATCTAAAATAAAGTGTAAATAACCTAATATAATATGTCGAATTACACCCAAAAAAAAATCGGTACATGAATGTTTTTGTGTTCATGCACTTTTAGATAATATTATAAAAGAAATTCATTATGTTGTCCATATATATAACTTAATTTTTATATAAAAAGGATAAAACTAAAATTGAAGAGGGAAGCAACTAAACTAATTTATGAGGGAAGAAAATTATCATAATTTATATATTTATTAGGATAAAATAACCTCAATCAAGTAACAAAAAAATATATTGTAACACTTTCTTTATAGTAATTATTTATATAAATTATATAATATATAGTAATAATAATAATAAGAATTTAAAATAAAATTGGGCCCTTCAAATTCTGGGGGCCTAAGGCAATGGCCTCACTTCCCAAAGCCTTAAAGTCGCGCCCGTGTTTACACCTAACATCATGTTCCTATATACTTCTTGTCTATATTTTCATTAATGTGGTGCTTATGCTTTCCTGAGCTGAGAGTCTATTGGAAACAACTTTCTATCCTCACAAGGTAGGGATAAGGTATGCGTACACACTACCCTCCCAGACCCACGGTGTGAAATAATACTAGGTATGTTGTTATTGCATCATGTTCTTATAACTGTAATAATATCATGGTATCTTTAAGGCGACAGATTCTAATATTACTTTTGGTACTTTACTTTTAAAATTCAATTTCTTAAAATTAACCCATAGAAATGGAGGTATTCTATGAAGTTCCATTTCTATGAGCTAATTTACCTATCGCCAGAAAATATACCATCGTTGCATGCTATTACTAATTTACTATTAAACATCTGCATACAAAGTTTTAAGCACAAAGCGTCAAATCAAAAGGAAAGCTTAAATTTCAAACGTAAAGATTATTTAATCAAACCAATGACAAAGTAAATTGTATAAAGATCAGTCAAGTTGCTACAAGCTAGTCTAGATATATTATCACGTTATAAAAAAATAAAAAACAAAACTAAATCAGGAGAATCTTAGATATGGATTGAACCATAGAATACCTTGTTTTTCTAGAATCTTCATGAGATAAGGTTGAGACGGCACGTCAAGGTAATCGCCGATGTAGTCTCTGTGAAAGGAAGCTTTTCTACGGACCTTTACTCCCATGAAAGGATCTCTATTTTGATCTTCCGTGACGTTTCTATCCGTGGACTTCAGATTTAAACTTTCTGCAACTTCGTCGTCGTTAGCGATCGGTTCGTCTTCGTCAAGGACAGGTCGGGCTTGGGCTCGCGGTTGGGTAGGAATCTGGACTCTGCGATTTGATTGTAACCATGCCATCGCCGGCGACGGAACGGTTGATCAAAGAGTCGGAGACAGGGGAAAAGGCCGGGGAAGAAGAGGGTGGCCGAAAGTAACGATGTATGTTGAGGGGCGTTGGTGGTGGGAAGCAAACGCGTCGCGTCTGACTGTTACGTCACTTGGATTCACAACGCGGGACCCAATTTCCCCAATCTTTTAAAAAAAAAAGTATTTTCTTTAAGTATTTTGTATTTTCATTTCGTGGAAATTAAGAGCCCGTCTCGATTAGCTGATTTGAAGTAACTGATAAGCATTAGGTGCTACAAAATAGTTTTAAGTGCTGAAATTGATTTAATAAATAAGCAGTTATGTGTTTGGATACAAGTGCTGAAATTGATAATAAGATGCTGTAGTATTTGAGAAAAAAGTGCCGATAAGCTCTTTTTCTATTAAAATGACTTAAATAACTTTAGAATTATTTACACTTATAAGGGCATAATTTCTGTAAAATTTTTTAGATTCCAGATCGATTCAAATACAAAATATTATATTTATCATTTTATTTTAAATACAACCGTGCTTAGATAAGAAAACTTTTATGATAAATAAAATTTATTTTATGATTAGCATATAATCATAAGTTATAATAATTAATAAATTGACAAAAGTTTCTAAGTGAAAAATAAACCTAAATAAATATATGAAGAGAAACAAACAGTGTCTTCATCACCACAACACTTAGAAAGCAATGCATCAAAAATTTGATATGTCCTCATTTATTACATACAGTTCAAAGAATAATACACAATCACATAGATACAAATATGCAAAGGAATAGAGAATTTGCTTATCTCAAATAGTCAATGAGAATTGCAGACTTGAAGAGGCGGCGCGGGGGCGGGAGGGGGGGAGGGGAGGGGGGGGGGAGGAAACAATACTTGAGGCAGTGAATATCAATGTAAGAGTTTTGTTCTAAAATAGAATATTTTAAGGATAAAATAATAAAAATCTTGGTCAAACTTAAAGTGCTTATAACCTAACAATTCATAAGCTAGGGGTGACTAACTTATGGCTTTTAGCTTATTTTTGACTTATAAGCACTTGGCTTATAAACACTTTTAACTTTATCAAACGCGTAGATAAGCCGAAAAGTGCTTATAACCTAGTTTGACCAGCTTAGCCAAACACCCTCTAAGAAATGAAGGTGTCCGCGCACGCAAACATGACGATTATTATTTACTAGTCTTAGATTACGTCCGACGCACACCCGTTTAAAGGAATACAATTTTTTCCATAAAAATTCCATTATTATTATTTTAGAATTTATGTTTGAGTTATATAATAAGAGTTAATAAAAAATAAAATCATAAAGATGATGATGGTTAATCTTATTTAACTAACTCAATAAAGGATAAAGTTCCGCCATAAAAAACTTCAAAATTCTAAATTTTAGTTCTGCCCAAAATAAATTATTAATTATCATTATAGTTTTATTCGACATAAAAAGCATTTACAAAGGGTAAAAAATTCGATCAATCTTTCGTATTAGAAAGTACTATTCGTGTTTTTTTATAATAGTGTAGACAAAAATAGATCGATTATACTTGTTAACGATCAATTTTGACCCTCATTTTCAAAATTAATTTATTTATATTTAATAATTTAAAAGAATATATTAAAAATATTTCCGAATCAATAATACCTATTATATACATACATATATAT